TTTTGCCGTGTGCGCAGGGTTTAGGATCTGTGTGCACGCGCACACGCGCACAGCTTAAAGGGAACAGTGTCTGTAAGTAGTCTAATTGGAATCAATTGCAGAGATATAACAAGCCCAGGACCCATCTCACCAGGACTCTTTGAAATGAATGGGTACTATTTGAAGAATACGGATACTACAGCATCAGGTCTTTAGTAGGATGGGCAGGACATCCTAAGGACTTAACCTGTAAACATTTAGCCAAAAGTGGTGCATTCTAGATAAGTAAACTAAAAAGCACCAGATGATGCTTCCTGCCTCTATACGTGCGGGGCATCAGAGGGTGACACCTCTAAAAAGTGCAGATTTACAAAAACTCAAGGTAATCAACAACCTCAGCAACAATAACTAGACAACAAGTGAAAGTATACACCAAATAGACAATAGGCTACCCTTCTCCTCCCTGCCTCTACCCCCCCCCACCCCACATTCAGTTAGAGCCTCAGTATCTCACTCTAGCTGGATGTTAAATGCATGCAACTAAAACAAAACACACCACAACAGATAGCACTGTTGGTACGTTGCATGACTGACAGGTCTAGCATAAGGAACCTCCAGTTATAGTGCAGATGCTGCTATAAATTGAATCCTAAAATGGATGATTGCTCCCCTATCTCCAACTAATAAAACATGAAGAGCAAATATTTGTGATAGACTCATAAAATCACAGAACCATAGAGTCTGAAGGGATTGCAAGAGTCATCTAATCTGACCCGATGCCAAGATTCAGGATTTGTTGTGTCTAAAACATCCAAGACAGATGGCTATCCAGCCTCTTTTTGAAAGCCTCCAGTGAAGGAGCATCCACAACTTCCCTAAGAAGTTTGTTCCATTTTCCTACTGTTTTTCGTTAGAAAGTTTTTTCTGAGATTTAATCTAAATCTGCTATGGTGTAGTTTGAACCCATTGCCTCTTGTCCTGCCCTTCTTGACAAGACAGAATATTTTTTCTCCATCTTTTTATGGCACCCTTTAAAGTATTTGAAAATGGCTATCATATCCCCTCTTTAACCTCCTCTTTTCCAAACTAAACATACCCAGTTCCTTCAGCCTTTGCTCACATGACTTGCATTCCATCCCTTTGATCATATTTGTCACTTGATTCTAGATCCTTTCCAGTTTCTCTACATCCTTTCTATACAGGAGTGACCAAAACTGCACACAGTACTCCAACTGAGGCCTAAGTAGAGCGGTAATATCACCACAAGAGACTTGCATGTTAGGCCTCTGTTAATGCATCTCAAAGTTCCATTTGGGTTGGGTTTTTTTTTGCAACAACATCGCATTGTTGACTCATGTTGAGGTTGTGATCCACAAGATCCTTCTCAGCAGTGCTGCTACCAAACCAATTATTCCCCATTCTGTATTTGTGCATTTGGTTTTTCTTCCCTAAGTGTTGCACCTGACATTTATCTTCATTGAATTTTATTTTGTTGTCTATAGCACAGTTCCCCAATTTATCAAGATCCCTTTGAATTTTAGCTTTATCCTCCAAAGTATTTGCAGCTACCCCAGCTTTGTGTCATCTGCAAATTTGATCAGTATGCTCTCTAGTCCTATATCCAAGTCATTAATAAATATATTAAATAACACTGGATCCAGAACAGATCCGAGTGGAACCCCACTTGCGACCATCTTCCAATCTGACATTCCATTAATAATTACTCTTTGTAGTTGTTTAACCAATTATGTATCCACTTAATAGTAGTTCTACCAAGCCCACATTTCTCCAGCTTATTTATGAGAATGTCATGTGGGACTGTGTCAAAAGTCTTGCTTAAGTCCATGTATATTATGTCCACCGCATTCATCCTATCCACCAAACCAGTTATCTGTCAAAGAAGGAAATCAAGCTGGCTGGGGATGATTTGTTTTTAGTAAATTCTGATTATAAGAGAAAATCCAAGCAGCAGATATTTTCACTCTCTCACCTGTGCACACGTCTTCTCCTGCAGAAACACTCATACATGGTAGCATCCCTGCCTCAGCTCTCTTGATAATTAGCTTTCTCTGAAGAAACATGTCTAGGATAACATCAGACCTCCTCTTTGAACAGCTGGCCACTGTCTCTCTGGGGCAACAGTTGAGAGGAAATGGGGTAGATACCCTTGACTTGACTGTTGGGGGATCAAGTTTCTTAGGAGACAGGATAATACCAGGGTGGGAGCTTGCAAATAGGATCATGATCCTGGCAGTCAAAGAATGACTTGTCTCCAGTCTAGTGCAGCCGGGGAAGAACTTTTTCTTTGCCTCCTCTTTCCACATAGTAGAGCAAAGAATCACTTACTGGGTGCATAGCCTTATATTAGCTTCCCATTTGAGCAGAGCTACCACTGGATAAAATCCTTCTGTTTTTATTTCTTCAGTTGTATGTTTATAAATATACATATGCTTATTTTTTAGTCTTTCCCCTTTTTCTCCCTATCAAGCAAACATGTTTGTGAAATCTCTCATTCTTTGGAGGAGCACCATGGAATGCACTTCTTTAAGACACCAATATTATGGTGCAATATGGCAATAGCCATTCAGTCATGGGTGAATCTGAAATTAACATAATAATGTTAATTCCTTTGAGGACTAGGCTGGTATGTCCAGGAACTAGGATGACCAGGTGTCTGGTTTTCGACCGGAACACCTGGTCTTAAAGGGACACTGGTGGCTCCACTCACCACCACTAGTCCAGTCGGTGGTGCTGCGGTGCTAAGGCAGGCTAGTCCCTACCTGTCCTGCCACCGTGCTGTGCTCTGGACGTGGCCAGGAGGTCTGGCTCCTAGGCGGGGGGCCATGGAGCTCCGTGCGCTGCCAAGCGCCCCAAGCACCGTCTCAGCACTCTCATTGGCCAGCTCCCAGCCAATGGGGGCTTGGGGGGGCGGTTCTTGTGGGCGAGAGCAGTGTGAGGAGCCTCCTGCCTCCTCCCCCACCGCCTACTAGCACCAGACCTGCTGGTCACTTAGCCCCGCTGCACTGCTGACCGGGAGCCACCTGAGGTAAGCCCATGCCCCAACCCCGAGCCCCAACCCCCTGCCCTAGCCTTGAGCCCCCCCAAACCGGGAGCCCCCTCCTGCACCCCAAAGCCTTCATCCCCGGCCCCAGCCCCAGCCCAGAGTCTGACCCCCAGCCAGAGACCTAACCCCTCCTACACCCCAACCCTCTGCCGCAGCCCTGAGCCCCCCAAACCTGGAGCCCCCTCTTGCACCCCAAACTCTGCATCCCTGGCCCCACCCCAGAGCCCCCATCCCCAGCACAGAGCCTGTACCCCCTCCCACACCCCAACCCCTGCCTCAATCCGCAGCCCCCTCCCACATTCCAAATCCCTCGGCCCCACCCCCAAGTGTGGATCCCCCTCCTGCATCCCAAACCCCTCTCCCCAGCCCAGTGAAAGTGAGCGAGGATGGGGGAGAGCAAGCCACCAAGGGAGGGGGAAAGGTAGTGAGCGGGGGGCAGGGCCTCGCGGAAGGGGCAGGGCTAGGGTGTTCAGTTTTATGCGATTAGAAAGTTGGCAACCCTATCAGGAATGTGACTTTTTCAATGAGACCTTGTATGTCTTGAAGTGCTATTAATGGGGGTACATGCTGTCTTTAAAAATGCCACAAATGCACATTCGTGCTGTAGTGAATGGACTATTTTTAGCACAGTCAAAAAATAAATACATAAAAACTTGCTTAAAATTTGGTCCTATTCCCTCTTTAAAATCAACGTCAGCCATATTTCTCATTTAAAATCAAACGCAGCCCTGTTCCCTGTTTAAAAAGAAAAACCCATAACATTTTCCATTGGGATCTCTTCTCTGTCTTGTAAGTATATTCTATCCTCTTTTATACTTCACTGTAATCTTAAATTCTACAAGTCAAATAAATGTTTACATGATACCAAAACTGGGAGTGATTTCAAATGATCTTGGCTTTGGATAGACTTGTATCCATAAATCTGCACTTTCTTCTAGTCATATAAGAAAATTATATAGCAAGCTTTTCATTTGAAACCAATGAAGACCCTATACCTCAGCAACATATGCAGCTGTGCAAGCTATATGGCTAAATGAGTCTCTCAAGAGTCTATGCGGTGGGACTTGAATGTACAAAAATAGGTGCAGGCTGCACGTGCCAGCGTCTTCATTAGCAATGAATCAGATCCTTGTGTCTTTACTTGTAGTTTCACTTTTGCTTTCCAATGCCTATTTTAAATATAGCTCTTCTTTTGCAGAGCTGCCTGAACCTTTTTTCGTTTTGTCACCTTATCCTTTTTCATGATGAGTCAAAAGCTCAAGAGAGTTTACAGCTATTTTTGGAGTTCAGAGTTTTACATTAAACCCCAACTTTCATAGAATCACAGAATCATAGACTATCAGGGTTGGAAGGGACCTCAGGAAGTCATCTAGTCCAACCCCCTGCTCAAAGCAGGACCAATCCCCAACTAAATCATCCCAGCCAGGGCTTTGTCAAGCCTGACTTTAAAAACTTCTAAGGAAGGAGATTCCACCACCTCTGGTGGCACTGGCCTAATAAACCCAGGGTTGAGAGTTCAATCCTTGAAGGGGCCATTTAGGGATTGGGGCAAAAATTGGGGATTGGTCCTGCTTTGAGCAGGGGGTTGGACTAGATGACCCCTGAGGTCCCTTCCAACCCTGATATTCTATGATTCATGATTCCCACAGGGCTCCCCAGCGTTTCCACAGGGCAGGGAACATGTGGCCCCCAAACAGCCAGGCACTTTAGTTCATTCTTTAGTATTGGTTTAATATTTAGAGCACTTCATGCTGAAGCGGGGCATGTTCCGAGTGTGCCCGTCCAATGCGAGGTAGGACACCCACTGTTTGACAATCCCGCCCCCCCTCGGACGAGCGGGCACATCAGGCGCAGCCCGCACTCTTTCCCGCTGAGCCGCGGCTTCTCTCTCACAGGCGCTTCCCCCGCCGCCGCCGGGCACTGGGGCGAGCCCACAGGAAGCCGCGCCCACGCTCCCCGAGCCGCACCCGGCGCGGCTCCTCGCACGCCTCCCCCGGCTGCTGTCACTCATCCCCCATGTGACTGCCGGGCCGCCGGGGTTCCTGGGCTCTCCGGCCGCTGCTCCTCCGCTCCGAGGCTGGCCCGGCCCGGCTACACGAGGAAGGCGGGGGGCGCCGGCGGCCTGAGGCGGGGCCGCGCGGATCCGACCGGCCTGGGAAGAGTCTGTGGCTGCTGCGGTGCCCTGGAGAAGGAGCCCGCGAGGGAGAAGGAGCCCCCAGTAGCTGCGGGGATTGGCGGGGGGTGGAGAGCAGGAGCAGCTCTCTGAAAGGAGCTGGGTGAGCCGGGGGTGTCGGAGGGAGCTTGGGGCGGCCGGAGCAAGGCTGCAGGTGGGAGGGAAGCTGGGGGAGTTGTTGGGAAATCGCCTGGAGCAGAGCGGGGAGTAGGAGCACCTGGGCAGCCTTCCCCCGTCTGCTGCCATCTCCTTTAGCCGGTCTGTTCTCCCCGGCTGCGCTCGCCAGTGGGCTAAGAGAACCACTCAGGCCAAAGTCAGCCCCGGAAAAAGGTGTAAGAGACCCGTGCAGGGCAGATAGCACCAGCCACCTGTGTAAAGTGCTTTGAGAGTCTGAAAAATCCCACTGACAGCAAGTACTCGGGGCTTGTGTGAAAGGATAAAGGGCTCCCTCTCAGTCAGGCCTGCCCACCTTCGAACACATGGTTCCAGAGTGGGGTCTTGGTATTTCAAACCAGATGTTTAGACCCCCAAAGCCACCCGGGATGATGCATCTCACCTCACTGAGCTTAGTAAAGAACAGAGTGCAGACTCAGGTGGTTGTTCTGTAGTCCACTGATTATTTTTATAATGGTGCATATTCCTAAACTATCAACTCATAGTTTAAAGGCTGTACTGTGGACTCATGCCAGGTTGCATGTTTGTAGATTCTTTCAGTGCAACTTTCCTTCCATCCCTCTGTCTCAGCCACTCACCTAGTAATAATGTTGTTGCTTGAATGGGATTGCCCCCCTCGTTGTTTAGGCCTTGCCTCCCTGTAGTCATTTACCTTCACTTTGAACTGGAATAAAACACTATTTGGTAGCATTTTAAACCCTCTTTGCACAGGAATAAGTTATTACTCAGGTGCAAGGCTGTGGAAGACTTAACTATGATTTTCGTTTTGGAACAAGGGAATTGGAAGGTTTCGTTTTCTTTCATACTGGTTTCATTTTCTTTTCTTTCAAGGTGTGATGCCACCTAAAGGGTGTGGAAAAAGCAAGCTCCCTGTCCCCCTTCCCAAAGGAATGATAATGAAAGACACTGAAGGAAAAGAGTGGAGGCTGGGCAATATAATTGGCCAGGGAGGATTTGGATTGATCTATTTAGGTAAAGCATGAGTGTTAATTATGAGAGTATTTCTGTGAGTTGTCTGTTCTACTTTATCCTTTAAAACAAAATGGTTTAAAAAAAAGTTGTTGCTAATCCACTAAAGAAACAACAAGAGGTGCCAGAATGTGTTTCACGATCTTAAACAGCACTCAGCTGAATGCTCAGGTGATTGAGAAGTTTTCCTGAAGGAACTGCATGATTCTTTCCTGGATTGTTCAGAGTACTGCTTGTAGAGCCTGCAGCGTGAAGCATATACCTTGGGCACCTATAGGGCAGCGCTTGAGCAGAAGATTGCCAGAGAGTAGCAATAGTAAGTGCTGTAGGATATGGTGATTCAGTATGTGGCAGTAACTCAAGTCAGTACTGATCCAGTGCTCCAAAGTGCTGTTAGGGGCATTGGCTGTTGAAGGTGCCATCTTTCAGCTGAGACATAAAATCAAGATACAGAGCGTTTGGTCATTAAAGAACTAATTACACATTTTATAGCAATAGTAGTATTAACTTTGGTGCTATGTATGAATTAAAGCCACACTTTTTCCAGCAGTTTCAGCTGAAAACGGTACTCTTCACTTGTCCAAAATGGCATAGTATAGCTGCATGCTCTTCAACAGATGCTATATTTCTATTCAGAGGTAGCTGCTTTTCAGTGGTGAAAAAGTGATAAATAGTTTGTAAAACACTTCGGGATCATTTATATCAACATGTAAATTACTACTGTTGGTCTCTATAAAAGAGAAAAATCTGTTTACAAAGCAGCATGATGGACTTTTCCTGTACCACACACATGCAGGATAAATATGGGAACTAGTCTACAATGAAAATCTGTCAGGAACTACATTGAGCTTGTACTGAGAGCAGTGAAGAATTAGTCCTGAATAGCAACATCAGTACAACCCATCATCCCTAAAGGCAAACATGCTCTTCTTAAGTTAGATAGCGGTATGTTAACTAGTGTTCCCAGACCTGGGGTATTAATATTCAAAACCTGCTGATCAAGGCACTTCAATATGTGGATTGAATGTGCATTGCACATACAAAAATCTGTTGTACCTTTTTAATTTTTCTCCATTTATTTTGTCATGGAAAGTGTAATTGCATTTTTTGGCATCCATTCTTTGTGCCACTTCTTTATTTTCTATTTTCCACTCTTTCTGTTTATGTGCTATGACATTTAGCTCATACAAATTGCTTTGTTAGAAGATTATATGGTAATACGTTTGAAGACAGCAGAAGCTTTCCTTGTTGCATGGTTTCTAGACCCCTGGAACAAGTCAATTTTTCATTAGAACAAGCGCCATATACCAAATGACTTATTTCTCAGTTCTTTTGTCTTTTTAACTGCAACTTCTTCTGCATGGGTGGATCCTCTTTGCCCACACAGAGCTACACTGGAAGCAGAAGCACAGGAGTTTGCCCACATGGAGAAAATGACTGGAGCCTTGGTGAATGTGGAACAAGCTTTTACTTTCTGTAGCAGAACTTACGGGTGTTCGTTACATCCTATTCAGCCATAAGTATGTGCCACTGTTTTCTTGATGATAGATGCAGTAGTGTCTCTTGTATTTTTTCTGTTCCATCTGTCATGCATTGATGTCCTTGTTCCAGATATTTGCTTTCCTGCTCAGGAACAGCTGGGACTGAGCAGAATTCCTCCATATTTTTTCCTTGTGTTTGGTGTGGCAAAGCACAGAGCTGGGTAGTGACTGTGCACAGTCACGAAAACCCACATTTTACTTCTTGGAGACTGGTTCTACCTGAGGACTGGTATGTTAGTGCTCTAAATAAAATGGATGCCTTAAAACTGTTCCGTCAGCAATGGTGGTTGTAAATTATAGCAAAAATCATCAATCTTATCTGCACACTCTGACATCTACCATTTCAGTCATAAGAAACTGAGAAGAAAAACTGTGAACAAGGCTGCGATTAACCAAGATGTCCTGCTTTCTAGAATGGAAAAGAGGATGGCATCCATTCCACTGTATGACTGCATAGAGGAGAGAAAGATGATTTCATTAGCAACCTAAATACCACTGCTTCTGATTGCTCTTCATACATTCAGTCCTGTACCACTTGCCAATCATTTAAGCATACAGAGACAAACTAATATGTGCTTGACACTTCTTCAAAAGATGCTCAGTTTAATCCACATTAAGACATATTTCACTCCAGTCCTTTGCTTCCCCATATGTTCCATTAGTAAAAGAAGAAGCAGGCAAACTCTGCTTTAATCAACCAGTGTCCAATAATATTCTGTCTTAATATTAATCTTTCTTAATACACTCTTTTGGGAGGTGCTTGATCAGCATCTGTTGCTCAAGGCCAAGAAAACAAAAAAAAAATCCTAGTTGTCTTATCTCTGTCTCATTCCATTCTATAGAATTCTATTCATAGCCTTCCCAGACGGGTGAAAGTAAGGGGGTATGGGCCGGTATGGCATACCGGTAAAAGGTAGCCTCCAGTACCGGCCCATACAACTGACTTTAAAGCGCTACTTTAACATCACTGCCCCTTTTGCGCAGCGATGACCCGGCAGAGCAGCCAATGGGGGGTGCAAAAAGGGCAGCGCTGCTGACGGGGGGTGGGGGCAAAAGAAGTAGCTGCCCTGGGCCGTCTAAATTGCCACTGGAGCCCCGGGCAGCGCGGGCCAGGGAGCACAGATGGATGGGCCCGGGGACGCTGACCCCCCCGCCCCTTACGCCCGGGGCCATGCCCCTTCTGGGGCGGGGCCAGAGCAGCCCTGTACTGGTAAGAGCTGCATTTTACTTTCACCCCTGTTCCCAGGGTGAGATCAGTAACCAAGGCCCCTCAGAAATGTGCAGTCACAGAAGAGGTGAGGGACAGAGCTGTTCTGATATTTACATTTTTCTTTTGATGTACATGATTTCTTTTATGACCTTCTCTTAAACATCAGTCAGTTGCCTTGGAGAGATCCTATGTCTAGAGCATATATAGGAAGCATTACCATAAGAAAATATACCCCAGCATGAGCAATGGAATGAAGTCAAGATGCCTCCTGAAATTGCTAGTCAAGGATTATTTGTTGGGAGGGGGAAAAAGAAAGTAATGGAAGGTTGGGGAATGGAAACTTACAAAGGTTCCCACAGAGAAGTGAGAATGATTCGTGGGACTCTGATGTAGTGATGAGGGGAAACTGAATTGAGAATGTGGTTTTGTTTATTATAACAACACTTTTCTCCGGTGGAACCCAGATTACTCTCATAGGGTACATGTTTAGAACATCTGGTGCAACAGTGAAGGAGGAATAATTCAGTGTAAGTAATTCTCAATCTAAAGCAAAAAAAATTAATTGTGTACCAAATCTACTAGGGCATTTCCTATTACAGGAAAACCATACAAGACCTTGTAAATGGTATATTGCATGGAGATTGGTACATGTTTCATGCAGATTTTACTGGTTTTCTTTCTGACCACACAGACCACAGATGACTTCAACTCTTGTGGTGTAATGCTCTTTGAATCCCACCATGCTGAGGCAGAGAGCAGCCAGAGGAGTGGTATGGAATGATATTGCAGTCTAGGGCCATTGTATATTTTGGTTTTGTGTTCCTAATGAGTATAGCAGGAATAGCTGGAAAAAAATATAGCTGTTTGGTAGAATCTTTGCAAATGTCATTCTTGTTTACTTCTACTTTCTATCAGAAGGGAGACCCGGTACTGGTTATGGCACTAAGATGGAGGCTTAGTTCCAATTGTAACACAGAAATTAGAAAGAGGAACATAGCAGATTGACTCAGCAGTGCATAACTCAGCTGAAACAGGAAATGGATCAGACTTATCAGCAAAGATTGACTCTGTGCTGTAAAGAAAGGTCCAAAACAAGGAATCTTATTTCTCATATTCATTATGACTAGGCCCCTATCAAATTCTCGGCCATGAAAAATGCATCACAGACTGTGAAATCTGGTCTTTTGTGTGCTTTTACCCTATACTATACAGATTTCCCAGGGGAGACCAGCGTTACCCAAATTGGGGGTCCTGACCCAAAAGGGAGTTGCAGGGGGGTCACAAGATTATTTTAGGGGTCTTGCAATATTGCCATCCTTACTTATGCACTGCCTTCCGAGCTAGGCAGTTGGAGAGCGGCGGCTGTTGGCTGTGTGCCCAGCTCTGGAGGCAGCGCCTCGCCAGCAGCAGTGCAGAAGTAAGGATGGTAATGCTATACTATTCCACCCTTACTTCTGTGTTGCTGCCTTCAGAGCTGGGCAGCCAGAGAGGGGCAGCTGCTGACTGAGGGCCCAGCTCTGCAGGCAGCAGCGTGGAAGTAAGGGTGACAATACCATACCAGGCCATCCTGACTTCTGCGCTGCTGCTGGTGGTGGTGCCTCTGCCTTCAGAGCTGGGCTCCCGGCCAGCAGCCGCTGCTCTCCGGCTGCCTGGCTCTGAACTTAGCGCTGCCGCCACCACCAAGAGCACAGAAGTAAGGGTCTCAGTATTGCAACCCCCCTTACAATAACCTTGCAACCCCCCTGCAACTCCCTTTTGGATCAGGACCCCTACAATTACAACACTGTGAAATTCAAATTTAAATAGTTGAAATAATAAAATTTATGATTTTTAAAATCCTATGACTGAAATTGACCAAAATGGACTGTGAATTTGGTAGGGCCCTAATTATGACAGACATTGTGGCTGAAATAACACCAGCCAGCAGCTCAGTTTGGGCCTGGTTCTGCAAAGATTTGAGCACTCTCTAATCCCATTGTCTTTAGTGGTGTTCAAGAGTTCTCACTTCACATGGTCAGTTCCTTAGAAATACATACTAATGAATAAGAACTAGGTCTCATTTAGGTAGTCCTGTGGCTGAGATATGTCTTTTTCACCCCCTTCTTGAGAGGAGTAGAGTTCTGTTCATATGTATATATATTGCTCTGTGTTGTGGAGTAACTACTAAACTTGAAATGAGGAGCTAATCCAGAGGAAATTCTAGAGAACTGAACAAAATGGGCCATGCTAGGTTTGAATGTCTGCAAAATGTG